GTTTTCAGAAAACATTATTTGGAAGGGTTTAAAAAAAAAAAGAAAGTGTAATCTACACACCAACTACACAGTTATCAGCAGAATTCTTTTTTTTTTTTGGTTAAAAACTTTTATTTTTTCCGGAAATAACAACATGTTCAACACATTTTTCATTTAACCAAAAAACCCTTATTCCCTCCTCCCTTCCCCCTCCAGTGGCTTCCCGCAATGCGTTCCCCCTTTTTACTTTCAGTATAACTCAAGATAACACAATTTGGTTCAATATTGTTCTAAACATAGTAAATTTTGTTTCACATTCCAGTTTTTCTCTAAGTATATTTTAAAGTCATTCCATTCTTCAAAGAATACTTGGTCTTCTTTATTATTCAGTTTTTTCGTAATTTTGTCCATTTCTGCCATGAACAGAACTTTATGTATCCACTCTTCTGTTTCTGGTATTTTCTCTTGTTTCCAGCATTGAGCATAAACCATTCTTGCTGCTGTTATTAAGTACCAAAGCATAGTCTTTTTTATTACATTTACTTCCTCCATTTTGAGCCCTAATAGTAAAACTTCAGGTGCCTTTTTAAAAGAGCATTTCAGAATTTTTTGCATTTCGCTGTGTATTTTAGTCCAAAAATCCACAGCTTTTTCACATGTCCACCACATATGATAAAATGACCCTTCATGTTTTTTACATTTCCAGCATTTACTAGACATATTTTGATTCATGTTTGCTATTTTCTTAGGCGTCATATACCACCTGTACATCATTTTATAACAGTTCTCTCTAACATTAGTATATGTCGATATCTTAATAGAATTTTTCCACAAATACTCCCATGAATCAATTGTCACCTCCTTATTCATATTAAGGGCCCATTTAAGCATTTGTTCTTTTACTGTCTCATCTTCTGTATACCATTTTAACAAAATTTTATACACACATGAAATCCTTTTTGCCCTCCACTCTCCCACACAGTTTCAATTTCATTTTTCTCCTCTCTAAAACCATATTTTCTCTTATCTGCTTTGAATACATCACAAATCTGCATATAACTCAACCAGACATATCTATAATGTATCAGTTATCAGCAGAATTCTGATAACTTATGCATGTCCTTGCCCCAGTGGGGGACAGCGTCCCCAAAAAACCATTTGAAGGATGTTGTGGTTGGGAAACTCTGTAGAAAAACCAGCCAACGGGTTCATGCCCAATGCAGCTTCTCACCAAGAGGCAGGGTAAGGGTGACGTGACGTTCTCAGATGAGTGGCATTCTCAGTCTTGACCCACTTCTTGTGTTTTCACTTTGGTGTTTTATTTATTTCTGGTGAATGCCGTAGTGATTTTGTTTTTTGGGCGGCACCGCATGAGGAAGGAGGAAGAGAAACAGGATTGGGGCCATGCATTGGGGTGCTTGCGAAATCCCTGTGCCTAAAGCACCTCTTTGTGGGAACCGGCTTGCACTTGAGCATTGCACTTGTAGGAGATACCTGTGCGGATCTGTGTGCGCATCCCCAGAGTGGTTCCGCACGGCCGTTTTGCAGCAGTGTGGAAAAGTCCCTCTGGAATAAACACAGCCAGTGTTCCCTCTAAGCCAAGTTGGTGCAAGCTAGCTCACAATTTTTTAGCCTCCGGCTCACACAGTTTTGCCTTTGCTCCGGAAGGAGGGCTCCAGAGCAAACTAATTGATGCAGCAGCCAAATGGCTCGCTCACAACTTCATTGCCCGTAGGTCACAAAGTAGAATTTTTGCTCATGAGACTCCACAGCTGAGAGGGAGCACTGAATACAGCATGGATGGAAGTTCCCCAGATGGAGCGGCCGTCTCCCACTGGGGCAAGGACATGCATAAGCTGCATACAGGTGGAGGTCGGGGCAGAACATGGTTTGGTATCACTGTGCCCTCAGTGATACCAGAGATGCCCACAGGCTCAAAAAGGTTGGGGACCCCTGGTCTGTAGCCACTCCGTGTGTCTTGGCAGGACTCTACCATTTTGCATTGTCCTTTGGTTGAAGAAGGGCATACCCAGGTCAGGCTGGTGTTTCGAGAGCATTGCCAGCAAGCAAACAGAATGTGGAACGAATGTCTCGGCCTTTTCCATTCAGGCCTTTTCCATTTGCCAAACGGGTGTATGTATGTGTTTGCATTCCGTAAGGTGGCTGTTGTTCAAATTAAACAAACAAACAAAAGTAAACCTGTTAATTGTATATGTTTCCTTTGGTTAAACTTCCTTTGTTTGCACAGACAGTCAGTTTTTGCAAGAAAAACGTCATTATTTTCACTATATGCATACAGCTGGCCTCATCCTGCTGGAAGGCACTTATGGACTTGCAAATATTTACATGTTTAACTGTCGGTCTGATTGGAAAAGATGCAGTCAAGAGGCCTTGGGCTTGTGTGATTAATTGTCTAAACAGTAGGCAGGAGTCTTGTGACACCTGAACCCTTCGCAAGATTTTACTCTGGAGTCAGTTTAAAGGAAGCCAAAGCCGGCCTTCAGTTTACAAGGCTATTCACAATAGGACATTTTGGAGGTCATGAATTCATAGGGTTGCCATAGGTCAAAAGCGACTTCACTGCACTTAACAAGGTAAAGGTCCCCTTGCTCGAAAGCCAGTCGAGTCCGACTCTAGGGTTGCGGTGCTCATCTCTGTTTCCAAGCCAAAGAGCTAGCGCTGTCCAAAGATATTTCCGTGGTCATGTGGCCAGCATGACTAAACACCAAGGCGCACAGAACGCTGTTACCTTCCCACCGAAGTGGTACCTCTTTATCTACTTGCAATTTCTTGCTTTCAAACTGCTAGGTTGGCAGGAGCTAGAACTAGAGATGGGAGCTCACTCCATCATGCGGCAACCTGGGTCTCGAACTGCTGAACGACCGACCTTCCACAGCCTGCAGTTCAGCGTCTTAACCACTTGAGCCACCGCAGCTCCTTAACCGCAGCACTTAATAAACACACATTCATACTTTTGGGGGGACCGGAGCTCAGTCCTTCTGCAGAAGTGAACTCCACTCCGCCAAAGTTTATGCGGCAATAAAAGTTTGTTAGTCAAAAAGGTGCCTGAAGAGCCTTCCTTTATATTTGCCACAACAGCCTTCAGGCAGCTACTCCTCTGGAATTATTGTCTAGCTCTAAAGAATATAGATCCGGATGGGTTGCCCAGTCTGGCGTAGTGGTTAAGTGTGCGGACTCTAATCTGGGAGAACCGGGGTTGATTCCCCACTCCTCCACTTGCACCTGCTGGATGACCTTGGGCAAGCCATAGTTCTGACAAGAGCTGTCCTTTAAAAAGAGCCGTTTCTGTCAGAGCTCTCTCAGCCCCACCTACCTCACAGGGTGTCTGTGGTGGGGAGGGGAGGGGAAGGGAAAGGAGTTTGTAAGCTGCTCTAAGACTTCTTTGGGTAGTGAAGGGCGGGATATAAATCCAGTCTCCTTCTCCTCCTCCTGAAGCAACAGTACAAAGCTGGAGTCGAGTGGCACTGTTGAGACTAACCAAGTTTAATTCAGCACATGAAAGCTTCTACCAGAATTAAACTTTGTTGGTCTTAAAGGTGCCACTGGACTCAAACACTGTCACATCTGCTTGCTAACTCTTCTGTTTGTATCGGGGGCATAGCCCGAAAATTTTGGTTGGTGGGGCATGGGGAAATCCGGGAGGTGGGGGGCAATTTTATGTTATTTTAATTTTGGGGGGGGTGCATTTTAAAAAACTTGTTTATTTTTCGGCCCGGAAAAAAAGAAAATGAGACTGAAGCTTCCCTGACTGTGCCCAGGGTCATTTTGGAAACCCCATGTGCACCTTACATTTTTAAAAATATTCCTTTGAGGGGAAATCCGGGAGGTGGGGGGCAATTTTATGTTATTTTAATTTTGGGGGGGGTGCATTTTAAAAAACTTGTTTATTTTTCGGCCCGGAAAAAAAGAAAATGAGACTGAAGCTTCCCTGACTGTGCCCAGGGTCATTTTGGAAACCCCATGTCCATCTTACATTTCTTTCTTTAAAAAAAAAAAATCGGGATCTTTTCGATTTTTTTGTCTCTGGGGTGGTGCTCATCTGTGGGTGGGGGGCATTGCCCCCAAATGCCCCCTTTAGCTACAGGCCTGATTTGCATGCTGACTTGCTACAGTTCACAGATCTTACCAACTGCTTTAGTCCAGTACTTATTGGCCAGTTCCTTATTCCTCTTGACTCTAACTAGCCCTTCTTGGCAACTAATTCCCCCTATATGTAAGGCTAGATCGAGACAAGTGTGCATGCAGATGAAAACTCATACCCAGAATTGGTCTTAAAGGCGTCACTGGACTCAGATGTAGTTCTAAACAATATAGTTCTGTTTCCTTCTTCCACAGAGCTCAGGGTGGCATAGACAGTTCTTTCCATCTCCATTTTATTGTTATAACAGTCCTGCAAAGTAGACTAGACAGACAATGGTTGGCTCCGGTGGGATTTGTTTTTGGGTCTCCCCAGGGGTCATTTCCTGCAGGAGCGCACAGGAGTGGAGCTCCGGCAGTAAGGAGCCCAGGGGGCGGGCACATGCAACAAGCCCCACCCCCTGCTCCCAGCAGCCCTCAGTCAGAGCAAGAAGCAGCCAGGTAAGTTGCAGAGCCTCCCCCCGGCCCAAAACAGTCCAGTGGCACTTTTAAGACCACGTTTTATTCAGGTACAAGCTCTCCCTCCTCTGCGAGGACAAATGTGCACGTTCATCCCCCCCCCCCCCCAATAGCTAGCAATCCAAAACAGTCCAGTGGAGCCTGAGCGGTGGGTGTTGCCTTCGGACACACTTCCGGTGATGTGGCTTATGCAAATAAGTTATGCTAATGAGTTATGCTAATGAGCTCCTGCACCTCTTTTTCTGCGAAATGACCCCTGGGTCTCCCTAATCTGGCCCACTACATCACCCTGCCTCTCAGTTCCCTTTTCTGTCTTCTCCCCCTCCTGTAAGTTCCTAGGGGCAGAGACCTCATCCTTTTTTTTTTGTCTTTCACCGTATACCTTGACCTCTTTCTATTTGCAGGCCATCGTCCTGGTGCATTGGCTTCTCACGACATGGTGAGTAACTTCGGCAACGTTCTTCCTTTGCGATAGCAGCGGGGAGGTTGTGGGGACAGGAGTTGTGCGCAGGTGTGACAAGTGTGATGAGTGACCGTAAGAACAAGGGCATGCAACAACTGTAGGTTTTGCCAACGGCAAGGCCCGAGATGGGAAGAAAAACGTACAGGAGAAATGCTTTAGCTGTTGAGGGTAATCTCTGGGTTGTGAAACTAGTCGTACCACAAGGAATGGCAAGGGGCTGGGGGGGGGGGAGATCTCAGAGCGCCGGCCAGCACATGGGAGGGGATGCTAAAGGGAAGTTGGCCAAGTGACTCTTCCAGCTTGCTGACAAAACCTGTCAGTCAAGAAACTCCCAAGTAGGCTCCCTTTTCTGTTCTGTTTGGCTCCTCTAAGGAAGGGGTGGGGGTGGAGAATAGCTGATGGTGTGTTCAACTTAGATCATAGAATCATAGAGTGGGATGGGACCTCCTGGGTCATCTAGTCCAGCCCCCTGCACAATGCAGGGAATTCACAAATACCTTCCCCCTCCACACCTGCAGTGGCTGCTGTTCCACGCCCAGAAGATGACCAAAAAAAACCCCTCCAGGATCTCCAGCCAAATTGGCCTGGAGAAAAATGGCTTCCTGGCCCCAAAGTGGTGATTGGCATTCCCCCGGGCATGTAAGAAAGGGCCACGAGAACGAAGCCCTTCCGGCCCTCCCTTCTCGTGATCTGCCTAAGTTCTTACGTAACTACATTTACGTGACTTCAGGTGTCTTCGAAATGGCATAAACTAACTTGTATTTCTCCCCCACCCCCCCAAATCTCCCAATCAGGGGCTGCATGGAGTGGTTACCCTCCTCCTACGCCTGGGGGAACTTCACCATTCTGGCCGTGGGGGTCTGGGCCGTGGCCCAGCGGGATTCTGTCGACGCCATCCTCATGGTTTGTTCCAGGAACTTTTATTTTCCCTTTCAGCCTCATTTCTGTGAGTTGCATCACCCAAGACTCTGCACGGCCAGTTCAAACCCTCATGACAAAACTCCCCCCCCCCCTCCTAACTTCTGTGGCTTCCTGATTCTTACCCCCGCCACACCCCAAACCATGGAAGCACCCTTGTCTGTCCTTGCCCTCTCTTCGGGCAGCGCAAGAGGCCTTCCGTCCCCGTGACTGGTCTAAGGACCGTAACACTGGACTGAACAAGGACTGAGCCTTCCTTCCCTAGGTCTTATATGACAATTTCGGCACCCAATGCACTCTCTCCTTCACAGAAGCTGGACTGTTTATGAATATTCTGTTGCACACAGTTGTCGGGGGATGAGGGGGTCAGCCAAATAGCCACACACCCAGCTGGTGACAGCCAATGCGCCCTCTAAGCTGTGGAGTCTTATGAGCAAAAATTCTACTTTGTGAGCTACTGGCATTAAAGTTGTGAGTGAGCGATTTGGCTGCTGCGTAAATTAGTTTGCTCTGGAGCCCTCCTTCCTGAGTTGAGACAAAAATGTGTGAGCTGGAGTTTGGTGTAGTGGTTAAGTGTGCGGACTCTAATCTGGGAGAACCGGGTTTGATTCCCCACTCCTCCACTTGCACCTGCTGGTGTGACCTTGGGTCAGTCACAAGCTCTGGCACAGCTGTTCCTGAAAGAGCAGTTTGTGTCAGAGTTCTCTCAGCCCCACCCACCTCACAGGGTGTCTGTTGTGGGGAGGGGAAGGGGTTTGTAAGCCGCTCTGAGACTCCAAGTGAAGGGCGGGGTATAAATCCAATCTCTTCTTCTTCTAAAAAACTGTGAGCTAGCTCACATTAACTCAGCTTAGAGGGAACACTGATGGTTACCCCTTGGAGAGTGGAAGCCCCAGGAGAGAGGTTGGCTTTCCCCTACCATCCCCAAACCCCCTTCCCCCCCCCCCATCATGGAAAGTTATGGGCAGGGGTCATTTCGTAGAAAAAGAGGTGCAGGGGCTCATTAGCATAACTCATTAACATAACTTATTTGCATATGCCACACCCCCTGGCATCACTGGAAGTGTGACAGAAGGCAACACCCACCGCTCAGGCTCCACTGAACTGTTTTGGAATTGCTAGCTATTGCGGGGGGGGGGACGTGCAGATCTGTCCTCGCAGAGGAGGGAGAGCTTGTACCTGAACAAAACTTGGTCTTAAAGGTGCCACTGGACTGTTTTGGACTGGGGGGAGGGCTCTGCAACTTACCTGGCTGCTTCTTGCTCTGACTGAGGGCTGCTGGGAGCGGGGGGTGGGGCTTGTTGCATGTGCCCGCCCCTGGGCTCTTTACTGCCGGAGCTCCGCTCCTGTGCACTCCTGCAGGAAATGACCCCTGGTTATGGGAGAGAGAGAGAGATTGGCTTCCCCACCACCATCACCGTGCCTTCTTTCTTTCTCTTTCCTTCCCCAGTCCCCCCTCCCATCAGCAGGAGGCTGGGGAAGGAAAGGGAAGCTGCCCTACCGTTTCTGGTCAGTTTCACTGGAGAAGGAGCAGCTGTTAGGTTTAACAGCTAATGGGAGGGGAGTGAAACTGACCAGAAGCCGCAGGGCAGCTTTCCTCCCCATCCCCAGCGCTCAGCTTCCCCCCCTTAATTACATTAAATATCATGCAGATTTTAATGGATTGATATGCCAAGGTGTCTTTAGGTTGGCTGTGCTAATAAGAATACTGAAAATTACTGAGGTGGGGAGTTCCGCCGACTAACAGCTTGTGCTCTTTGGGGCTGTCTCTCCCCCCTCCAGTTCCTCACCGGCCTGCTCCTGACCATCCTCACGGACATCGTGCACATCAGCCTGTTTTACCCAGCCCTGATCTCGCTGTCGGATGCTCTGCGCTTCAGCACCGGCATGGCCATCTTCAACCTCCTCCTGAAGCCGCTGTCCTGCTTCTTCGCCTACCAGATGTACCGAGAGCGTGGGGGAGAATACGCCTTCAATTTAGGTGGGCCTCTGGCGCCTGGTACAGTCCCGCCCTGTCCACATCCACCTCCATCGTGCCCGGCGCTAGGGCTCCCTTTCCTGAGTCACTGCTAGCTTCTTCAGATACAACTAGAAAGCTCGTTGTTGTTCAGTCGCACAGTCAAGTCCGACTCTCCGCGACCCCATGGACCACATCACGCCAGGCCCTCCTCTCTTCCGCCATCCTCCGGAGTTTGCTTAACTTCATGTTTGTTGCATCTATGACACTGTCTAATCATCTCTGCCGTCCCCGTCTTCTTTGACCTTCAGTCTTTCCCAGCATCAGGGTCTTCTCCTCCAGTGAGGGCTCCCTTCTCATTTGGTAGCCAAAGTATTGGACCTTCAGTTTCATTATCTGGCCTTCCAGGGAACAGTCAGGGTTGATTTCCTTTCGGATTGTCTGATTCGATCTCCTTGCAGTCCAAGGGACTCTCAAGAGTCTTCTCCAGCACCCTAATTCAAAAGAAAAGCTCCTACCCAGCCACAAATTTTGTTAGTCTTGAAGGTGCTCCTGGACTTGCTCTTTTCTGCAGCTACTAATCTTGATTTTCCTCCATGGAGGTTGCTATGGCTGTCTAAAGAAGGGGCTACAATTCTCTCCTAAAACTACAATACCCAGCATTCCTTAAGGATACCCTACCCCCCCACTGCCCTGCTGCCAGCTTCTTAATCCCCCCCATAGATTTCAAGGTTCCTTTCCAAGTCACCAGTCATTCATGCCATGCAGGATTTCCTGCAAGGGCACTGGGGAAAAAAAGGGATGCAAGTAAAAAGCCTACGGAGAAATCAAGAAGGATCTAGATCCATAGCAGCTGAGCCGGGGAGCAGTTTACAGTCAAGAGGACGTAGCAGGATTCTTTAAAAGTGGCACGACACCCCTCCCCCTCTGATCCCTGGAGGATGAGGCCGTGCCCTTCACAGGAACAGAAAGCTGTCGCTGTCTTCAGGGAGGGGGTTTCAAGAGAGTTCAGACCAAGACTTCCATTATACACCTGGGAGCACGTGCAGAGGACTTTTCCCTCCCTGCTTCCCGTAGCACACACATCGCTCTCCCACTCCCTTGAACCCAGGGTCCTTTTATGTTAACAATGGGCTTCCTTTGACCACTGAAAGGAGGCAGTTGAATACTTAAAATGTGACCATGACAGGGGACCTTCAGTTATCTGTCTCACCTTCGTTCCTTGGTGTTGCATGTCAGAACGGAAAAGTGAAGCACAAATTTTCTAAGATATATGGTTCCATTGCACCCAGAATACTGCACCGGGGACTGGAGGCTCATCCTGTCTCAGCTACGGACACGAAATGTGTCTGGTTGCCCCCTTCTGCATCCAAACCTATGGCTTTACCCCTGTCTTCTCCTTCTCCATATAGGTTTCCTCGGCGTGGGGCAGGATCAGAGCTCGTACCAGTCCATTGACCATGCAGATCCGCCGCGGCCCTTTCCGGATGTGTCCACCAAGGTGGCTCCACCACGGCCCTACTGAGACGGTCTCCTTTGCTGGGTCTTCTGCCCTCGACTTGCTGCATCTGGGAATAAACTTTCACACCCCCTCTGTTGTTTCGCCACTAAAGGAAGTACGGTCACTGGGAGGGCAGAAAACTGGACCATCTGCCAATTTCCCAACATTTCCTTTCTCTTCTCGGGAGCGTTGGGAGGGGGAGGGGGTTCGGATTGTCCGGGATTTCCTGCTGCATATCCTGAGCCGCAGCCCGCCTCGAAGGAAGCGCATGGCTCTTCCCGTGTGCAGCTGCAAGCGCCACCTCTGTGCCCCCCTGCCGTGGGGTAGCCAGGGTTGCTACAGCTGCATTTTTGCCAACCAGGGCTAGTCTAAGGGAGAGATCCCATGTAGCTGTCTGAACAGATCCTGAGAAAGCAGGCGATCACCCTTGCTAGGAGGTGGAGCTGCCAGAGACTTGCAGTCCCAGTGAGAACGGGACCCCAGGGATTGGTCAAAGCCACATTCACCTGTTTTTTGGAGTTGAAGGGACAGTCCCCCCCACACACACACACCTGGTGCCTAACTCTGTGCCACTTTGGGATCATGAATTTTGCATCTCCTAATGCCTGTTGGGGCGGGGGGGGGGGGGGGGGG